TATACCGGTAGACAAAGGGAATTGTATACGGGATTGACTGAATCCTTGACATCGTGGTTCATCCGATGAGATCATCGTGGAACATGTGGGAGCCAACATGGGTATCCAGATCCTGCTGTTGGTTATTGACCAGAGAGATGTCTCGGTCATGTCTGCATGATTCCCGAGCCCGTAGGGTCTACACACTTAAGGTTCAATGACGCTAGGGTTATAGGGAAAGTATGTATGCGGTTACCGAATGTTGTTCGGAGTCCCGGATGAGATCCCGGACGTTACGAGGAGTTCCGGAATGGTCCGGAGGTGAAGATTGATATATTGGACGAAGGGTTTTGGAGTCCGGAAGTGTTCCAGAGGTACCGGGTGATGACCAGCATGACCGAAAGGTGTTTCGGGAGCCCCGACAAGTGTTGGGGGGCTTCATGGGCCAAGGGAAGGGGGAAAACTAGCCCACTAAGGGGTTGTGCGCCTCCCTCACCTATTCCCACGTGACCAGGGGGTTTGGGGCGCCCCATCTAGGGTTCCCACCTCCTGGCTTGGGGGCCAAGTCACCCAAGGGGGAGATCACATCTGCCCTGGCCGCCGCCCCCCCCCCCTAGGGGAAACCCTAGGGCGCCTCCCCTTGCCCTTGCCCCTATATATAGTGGAGGTTTTGGGGCTGCACAACACACGAGTCTCTCTCTCTCTCCCAAGGCGCAGCCCTACTTCTCTCCCTCCTCGTCTCTCGTAGTGCTTGGCGAAGCCCTGCTGGAGTACCGTGCTCCTCCACCACCACCACGCTGTCGTGCTGCTGCTGGACGGAGTCTTCCCCAACCTCTCCCTCTCTCCTTGCTGGATCAAGGCGCGGGAGACGTCATCGGGCTGTACGTGTGTTGAACGCGGAGGCGCCGTTGTTCGGCGCTTAGATCGGAATCGACCGCGATCTGAATCGCTGCGTGTAAGACTCCACCAACCGCGTTCTTGTAACGCTTCCGCATCGCGATCTTCAAGGGTATGAAGATGCTCTTCCCTTCCCCTCGTTGCTAGTCTCTCCATAGATTGATCTTGGTGATGCGTAGAAAATTTTAAATTTCTGCAACGATCCCCAACACCATCACCCTTGTTGATGTACATATCCACAAAATGTTCACCAAATTTGTTCAACTCGCAAGAGTACGCTTCATCCCAAGACACGGCTAGACCTTCGCCTTTACCATGGCCAAAAATATTAAACACATAATTCATACCCAACCGATAACACAAAAGCTCAACATACTCTTTATTTTTCCTAGTTTCTGAAAGAAAGATAACATTGGGACGATGCGTCTTAGTTAGACACATAAGCTCTTGAACCGTACGAGGTTGTCCCAGCCCTCGACGGTTCCAACTAAAAACTTTCATGGCTCCGGCCGGGTGTCATCAAACGTGCCTGTCAGTTGATCGGCAACCCCAAGATTGGTTGCTTCCTTTGGAGTGCCACCTTCCTCCTTTTCCTCTCCCACAAATTCTCTCCTCCTCTCCTGAAGTTCTTCCTCTCCCCCATCTATCTCTTTAGTTACATGAACCATAGCCCCACCAACACCTACTACAGCCCCAATCCTCTCACAACACACTCTTTTACAAGTTACAGAGATGTCATTCTCACTCTTATACTCTAAACTCACAGAGCTATTGCCACTCATAGTAAAAACTATGCCTTGATCTTCATAACGACGCCTCTTACTTCTCGTTGCGCTCTCTAGGATGGCAGCATAGGCGACCTTGCGGCTGGATAACTCGATGCCACTATTTGGGGGAGTGGGACCCTCAAACTTGACATGCTTAGCACACACACACCATGAACAACAACACGCTCCACTTGCTCCTCTTTGTACATTCTTTTCGAGCGGTCCCATTTTGATTCGGCTCTAGTTTCATGAAAGTTCAGCCGGGAAGCATTCCCGGCCAAACCAGCAAGGACGCCTGCTGAGCTACCATCAGCCGGCAACACCTTTGCCGCGACCAGAGGTTGGACGCCCTGGTCAGCCTCCTTTTTCGCAGCGTATCTGGCACCATCAGCCACAACAAACATCTCTGACTTGCTCTAGTTAACATCACTTGCAGCTTGTTTGTGAGCCAAGAAAGCAGCAGCAGAGCAAGTCTCAGGGTCTTCAGCCGATAGCAGTGCACCCAAATGCACCACAATAGCATCTTTGGCCAAGTGTTGCCCGCCTGCAGCAGCTAGTGCATATGGCTGCACGTACCTAGGCACACTCCCGGCCAGCAGACGTCAAAATTCACCGGGACCATCAAACAACATCTTTGACCAACACCCGTCATCGATCCGGTTAGCCTTGCCATGGGCAACAAGACTGTCGCCTTCATGATCCGTGTCTAGCCAGTGAGGTTTGTTTAGTCTATTCGAGTTACCCCGGGGTGCCTTTGTATATATTAGGTCTGGATTGCATGTGTCTGACTCAAACACCTACATTCGTCCACTCTATTTTCATATCAGTGTTATAGCCCTATATCTCCATTTTCCTACTACACATTGTATGAATTCAAACACCGCAATAGAGTTGGATGCATGCATTGCTTCCAAAAAACCTTAGCATGGAATAAATTTCAGAAACAAATTGAACTTACTATCAAGGGCGAAGAGGAGGATGTCATCATTGAACTGAGCTATAATTGGAGTATTATGTCAAGGTTAAGAAGGTAGTTACTCCTTCCGCTTTCTTTTTAATCCGCATATAAGATTTGTCTTAAGACAAACGTCTTAAAGTTTGACCAACATTATATGAAAAAATACCAACGTCCACAATATCAAATCAACATTATTTGATGTGTCATATGTATATACATCTAAGATTGCAGATCTTGATATTTTTTAATATAAAACTTGGCCAAACTCAAACTACTTCATAAAGTTTGACCTAAGACAAATCTCATATATGGAGAAAAGAGAAACAGAGGGACTTGATAAGAACAAATCAAATGCAAAGTATCGGTACCCCACACGATCTCGAGTCGGAAAACTCACACCCACTAGACATGTGTGTCCCCTAATCCTCACCTCCGTCGACTGCGCCAACAAATCTGAAACCTTTTCTTCAACTAGCAAGCTTCGAACCAAAGATAGTGGCAACATGGTGCCATGGCAGCAAAACAGAGCAAGAAGAGACGTGGCTGCCATACAGCACAAATCATTGCTGCCACACCGCGAGGCAGCACGGCACGGCAGCAGCAATAATAGCACTAGCCGTAGCCCGCCTGCCTCCGTCCTCCCTAATCCCAGAGCGCTCGTGCGTGCTGTCGAGCCGCTTCATTGCCCGGGGCCCCCGCGCTTTTCTTAGACCGCCCCCCACCCGCCCGGAATCCGCGGCGCGAGCCCCGCCCCGCCTCCCCCCCTCGCGCGCCACAAAGCGCCGGAGGCCCGGCCC